TTTTTTTTTTTTTTTTTTTTTTTTTTGCTGAATTTTAACACAATGAGAAAAAATATGGCTATTCTGTTCAATGCCATTCCGGCATCATGTAATCCATTAAAATCGTTTAATTAATAACAAAACGTTATTCAGAATTTTAAATTTAAAAAAACTTCTTAATTCTAACGTGGGTTTCATCTATTGGTAACTTTAGGAATGTTGTATTCATTTATTTTGAGACTATTTTATCCCTATAGTTTATGGACTTCCTAGAATTTTTTTTTTGAAGGATGCGCAGGCTTTTATGATTCAGTTGGCCGTGCCCACTATATGTATTGTATGAGTAACACACATGAAGACAAGTGTGGTGTTTTCAGTCCTGCACTGTATTTAAAGATTGCTAAATTGTTTCCATTGGAGCTAGAAAATAAACTTAAGAGCTGTTTCTTTTTCCTTAGTATATTTGTTATGTCTTTCATCGTAACTTTCCTAACTGAACAATGATTTCTTAAGGAAATAAAGATAAACCTTGTATTTGGCCACATAGTTATCAGTATACACTGAGAAGAAACTGTCCATACGATGTGTATTCTTAGTATAACAAAGAAAGATATGCTCCTCTATTAAAAGAATGTGGTCATAGAGATTTTATTTGCTCTGTTGGTTGCCACAGTCTTATCTATTCTATTTTATGAGATGGTAACTGTTGTAGTAGGAAGGTAATAGGATTGAATAGATCTTACTTCAAAGCTTGGGTACAGTGTTGGAAAGCTTGTTTTTTGTTGTTTTTTTTTTTAACCTTTAAATTAGAAATATAGTATAGGTTGAGTAGCCCTTATTGCATTGCTTGATACCAAAAGCAATTCAGATTCTTAAGTTTTTGAGTTTTGGATTATTTGCATAGAGTTTACCAGTTGAGTGTTCTTAATTCAAAAATCTAAAATATCCCCAAATCTGAAATTTTATGAGGACAATACTCAAAAGGGTTTTTTTTTTGAGCATTTCTAATTAGGGTTATTCATCTTTATCTATTTGAATCATATCATTACGGTTAGATGTAACAATATATGTAAAGTAATTATAATAGTGACCAGGATATAGAAGTTGGTAAAATATATATGTTATATGTTATTGCTTCATAATTAGTAGATGAAGATGATAATTACTATTTGGACTATAAGATAACTGATAAAGACTGAAATCTCTGACTAAAGTGTAGGAGATTTCTCTATACAAAACAAATGCTGTGACACAAGGAACAAATTTATGTCAGCAACATTATTGGCTTTACATTGATTTTTTTTTTTTAGTACGGGGGATTGAACCCAGGTCCTTTGCACTGAGATTTATCTTTTTCAACTTTTATTTGGGGACAGGGTAGCAATGAGTCTTTAAGTTGCCCAGAATGGACTCAAGTTTCAGTGTCCTGAGATTACAGATGTTCCAAATTCTAAATTATGCACTACCAATTTTGGAACCTCTTCAAAAAACATACTTTCACAATTGTGCCAAGTGATTTACTGAAAAATATTTAGACATTCATTAACTGGCTGTCTTCATATTGCTTTGTTTAATATTTTTCTCCCTCTTTCTTCTTTAAAATTAGTTGATCTCACCACCCCAATAACCCATTCCAATTGGATAATAGAGAATCGCTCTACATATAACTTTACATTGAATTATAACTCTTTCCCTAAGCTAGAGTGTAGTTCTGAGCTTACTACTAAATTCAAGCAGCAGTTCACACATACCACTTCTGTTCTGCCTAGGCTTCTTTTCTTAACATCTTAAAATTTAATGTCTTCTCCAAACACATTACTGAATGTACTTGCTCACAGATTAACAGTGACTCCTGATTGTGACATCCTGTGGACAGAGCATCCGCCACTTTTCTCCTTGATGTCTGTACAGCTTTTGACACAGTTTAGCAGCAGCTGTTTTTAAAATAGCTCATCCGTGTGATTTCCATACCCCAAAAAGGCCCACTTTCCTCCTCATAATTATTCCTTTTCAGTCTTGTATTCTTATTTATTTCAGTTTCCTTTGTTAAACAATGTGACAGTCACTAAGGTCAAGACCTTGACTTCTCTTTTTGCTCAATTTTCTCCCTGGCAAATCTATGGCTTACATCCTGATTCGGCAGTGACGTCTACAAAGGTATACGGATAGCCTGACCTATCTCCAGAGTTCTAGATGTTCTGGAGGGGTTTGCAAGTGTTTTAGTAGCATGTTGTATCATTTTGTTAAATACAAAGAGTAAAGCCAAGATAATTTAATTCCATGTTTCTGTAAGTGATGGCTCCATTCTCACATGAGTAATACTGAATTATCGTGTTCGGTGTTTATTTCCCTACTTCCTTTCAGTTACAGAGTTAAGAATTTTTGTTTCTTCATAATATCTTCTGGATTTTTAGTCATAGCCTCCCACCCTGGCTTTCAGTATTAGCCTCCTGACATTGACTTCCAGAGCTATACCCTGCAAATCCTGCAAATTGCTTTTATCAGGCCTCAAAAGGAGAATCTAATTACCAAGGTCCTCAATATGTTCAGTAGCTCTAAATTGATCAATTTATTTAAACTCTGGTGGAACTACCCTCTGACATGTTCTCATTCCATCAGAATTATTATTATTATTATTATTATTATTATTATTATTATTATTATTATTATTTTGGCACTGGTGATCAAACTCAGGACCTTGTGCTTGCGAGGCAGAGAGTGGCGACATTGAGCTAAATTCCTGGCCTCCATCAGAATTATTCAAAAGCTACCAAATGCACCATTTATCCCATATTCTCTTTTGCTCACAATGATTTCACTCTTTTTTCAATAGCTCTGTACTTTCTTACTTTAGACATTCTAGAAAGACCATTCTCTATTTACTTCTTTGTGAAACTCTTCTCAATATATATAGATTGTTCTCTGCTCTGAATCATAAAATCTGTTTTAGTAGTTAAGAAAATACAGAATCTTTGAGTGGTTAGTGACCACTCAGAGAAGATGGGGAGACAGCTGTAAAAATCTTAATTTTAAGCAGGAAATTAGCTATATTTTATGCTATCTTTTAACTTAATTTTTGCAGTTTTATTTAACTTATATTTACATTAGATATGTATGTCTTGTCTTCCCAAATTAATTATAAGCTTATTGAGGCAGAGACCGTCTTACCTTACTTCCAATACGAATACCCATCGATAATGTGTTTCTGTTTTCATTGCTGCCTGTGTTGTTCATATAGTTCATGTAGTGTGCAATGATTAAACACTTGCTGGTTATTTAAATGTGTAACTAGGTGATTAATTAAGCAACATTGTTGATTCTTGAATGGAAATTATGACTCTAAAGTCCCATGCCTCTGTTTCTAGCCAGTGCCACCAGGTGGGGTATATGCAGTCTTTCAGTGTATAATACATAGTTAAACATTTTCAGGAATTTGAGTAATTAATAAATGAGAACCAACTCTGGAATTAGCTCTTGTGCCTTTTTAAAACTTCAAGTCAGACTTTTATCAGACGCATATACAGAGAAACACTAAGATGTGTATCGTTATTTAATATCATTGTATCATCCAAAATCTCAGCTACAAGTGCAAACATGCTCTCTCTGTCTCTCTCCTGTACTAAATGAAATCTTGATTCTTTCTTCTTCTGCACGCCCTCTCCTCTTGTTCCACTTTATCTTATTCTCCTACTTTACTTTAAGCTTTTTGTCTCTGACCTGTACTGGAATGTCTTTCCTGAGAAACACCTGGCCTTTTCTTGCACTTAGTTGCCTAATGCTTACAAAGGAGACACCAGACTACTAGGTGCAACCTTACACTTATCTGTCTCCAACTCCAGTTTCAAAACCGCTTCCTAATTTCCTTTTGGGAGTGTTCAGTAGAGAATACACTAACCTTCTCCAGACACTGGACAAGGCGAGCTGTATTCTCCCCCACTGCTTTATTCTCTCTGCACTTCATGAGGTCATTGTCTGGAACCCACAATCCGCCATTTTTCTAGCTAGGCCAGTCCATGACACTTTTTCTCTCCTCACAATTTTAAGGTGAATAAAGCTTTTCTGTGTAAAATACAATTTCCTGCCTGTCTCCAATAGAACTTAGCATGTTTCTAAGAATCTTATTTGCTTGAAAGCAATGACAGCTTTTATTTATACATAAGAATTTTTCTTTCCATGGGCATAGATAGATGGTGGTAACTAAATCCAAAAGAGAAAAAAAAGGCAACTCAATTAAAAAAAGAGATTGTGCAAGAACTACAGATTTATTTCATATTTTATTAACTTTTCCAGGTTATGTTGAAGTGCTGGTCATACCCGCTGGAGCAAGGAGAATCAAAGTTGTGGAGGAAAAACCTGCACATAGCTATTTAGGTAACCCGCGTTACAGACACAGAGGCAATCCAAGTACGAGCCCATCTTCTTGCTCTGAGAGTTCTGTGATGACAAGGAAGTCAATCTGTTTCTAATTTTATGTTTGAACTTCCCAGGAAGCACTTCTTGTCGTAATGAACAAGAATTTCTTTCCTTCTCTCCCAGGAACTTCCCAGGAGCAAAAGCAATCTAGTTGCCTGTATGTTTTGTGGGAATATAAATTGCTTCCACATGTTAGCCTATGATAAATGAAAAGAACCTCACTGAATAATTTTGGTATAGTTTATTCTAAATATATATGTTTATTTCGTATCTATCCACATATGTTCACAAATATGTGTACATATTTATTGCATGTACGAATGCACATATATGTTTAGTTTTATAATTGTTATTTTAAAATTAAGAAATTCTGTGCTTTGAAAAAAATTCTGCAGTCAAGGAACCTAATTTTGCAGTGTAAAAGGATTCTGCCTTCAAGAAAACTCACCTGTGAAGCAAGTACTTTTAAAATTTTGAATATTACTCATGGAAAAGAATTACTGATGTGTTGGCTTTTTAATACTTTAAGTCAATTAATTTTAAACTGTATTGCAAAAATACTAAATATTAAAAGTATACTTTCATATGTATTATTTCAACCTAACTCATGACTTTTGTAGTCATGACAGCCATGCATACAGAGACAAAATATTATCATGTTAAGCCAAGGGATGGATATTCTCTAAGAATTTAAGTATTTTGTTCATGTCCTCTTTTCTTGAAAGCCCTCAGTCTATTGTTTCTTTAGAAAAATCATGCCCTCCTTACTCTTCCTTGAATTAACAATAAAGGCCCAATAGAGAAACTCCTTATGTATGGAAAACAATCTGTCTTACATGATTGCTTCTACTCTATAACATGAAAAATAATCCAAAATTGGGCTGAGGATTTAGCTCAGTGGTTCTGCTGCCTGCCTCACAAGCCCAAGGACCTAAGTTCGATCCCCGGTACAAAAAAAAAAAAAAAAAAAATCCAAAATCAACTAAAATATTTTTATGAGCCTTTGCTTTTAGTAGTGGAAAAGAGATAGCAAAATAAATTATTTCATCTATGATATACTCATTAATTTTCTATTACCAATGTATAAATTTGACAAAATTTATCTGTAATGGTTTTTTAAATGCTTTTTAAGTATGATTAGATCTCAGATATCCAGATTCAAGTTAAATAATTTAATAATTAAATAATAGTTTTTAAGGCACTCTGTATAGGCGATAATGGACTACTATATTTGGTATATTTGGTATGTTTTCTATTTTTCCAAGCTGGAAAGGAATCTAAGTTTTTCAAGTGACATTTTCCCAATTCTATAATTTTTTAGATTGTTTTAAGAGTTTTAGTAACCTGACCAATATGGCTGAATAAATCAGCAAGTTGTACACATTATCTGTCCAGTTCCTTATTTCCCATTCTCCTCAGTCAGTAAAGTCTTGTTTTCCATCTCATTGTATAGTCACTGCCCTCTTCAATGTCAAAACGCCTTCCCTGTTGACATACCACAAGCCTGACCTGTAAGAGCACTTAAATCTGTTGACTTCCCCTCATTTCCTTTAGTAGTGCTTTTTGCTGCTGTGACTGTATGTGACATCCTTCCCACAGTGAATGTCCTCTGCTGTTCTTTCTTGGATCCTCAACCTCTCCAAGGTCCATAGCTGTTCCCATTTGGTACGGTACAGACCTGAAGCCTCCTCTTTTCTCTGCTGTACTCTGTCCCTGGGGAAACCCATGTAACTCTACTCTCTTATACGTTCATTTGATGTAAATTATCTCATAGGCATTTCAGAAATAATGAGCCAAAAGTAAAACGTCCAAATAAAACAACGTGGTTCACATGCCTTGCTGAACTTGTTTTTCCTTGAAGTCTCGCTGTCATGGCAAATGTCACTGGATCCGTGTCCTGCGGTTTCTGTAACAGTTGTCATAAGCTTGGCTACTTAAAGCGATTGAGAGAAATGTGTTCCTCAAGCTCTGGAGGCCAGAGCTCCACAGTCTGTTTGACTAGATCCCCAAATAAAAGTTCTTTTCAGAGCTGCACTATCCTTGAAGACTCTGGGGAACTTTCATTCCTTGTTTCCTAAAATTTCTGGTGGCTACCAGAGTTTCTTTCTTCATGCTTACATCATCTCAATGTCTGCCTCCGTGGAGTCATTGCCTTTTCGTCTGTGTTCAGATCAGCCTCATTCTTCCTCTTATAAAGACATTTATGATTGTATTAGGGCTGTCCTGGATAATCTAGGAATATCTTTTACGTCAAGAGCTTTACAATCTGCAAAGTTTCTTGAAATTTACTGTAGACGCTAACTGTATTTTCAGGCTGCTATAGTAAAGTATCATGGACTAGATAGTTTTTAATTAACAGAAATTTAGTACTTATAATTTTAATAGCAGGAGTGGCCAAGATAAAAGTACTGACATGGAGAGTAATGAGGGCACATTTCTAGATTCATAGTTTGTACCTTTTACTGTGTCCACACAAGGGGGAAGGGGCTATCTTTTACATTAATACGTGCCAGGGATTATGACATGGATGTTTTCCCTTCAATAAAGTTTTCTGGCAAAATATATATAATATAATATTTAACATCTTAACGTTTTAAAGTGTAAAATTCAGTGTGTTTGGTGGCATTAAATGTATTAACATCTCAACTTATTTCTTAAAAAATATAAAAGCCCATCCTTATAAGACCATGATAGTTAAACCAACCTTGAAAAAGAAGAATCTTGTAAGATTCACATTTCTGATTTCAGAACTTACTATCAAGCTAAAGTAATCATAACACCATGGCATACAAACGCACATACAGACCAATGAAATAGAATAGAAAGCCCAGAAATAGGCCCTTGCATATATAATTATTTTAACTAGGGTATAAAGACTTGGCAGTGAAAGGACAGTTTTTTTCATGGAATGTCGTTAGGAAAATTGAACATCCATACACTCCGCAATAAAGTTGGGCCCTTACCTAACACATACACAAAAATACCATCAGGTGCGGACTTTTCTTTGATTTTTAATTGCTTATTAAATTCTCTGACTAGTTACAGGTTTATGCAGGATTTCTAATTTTGTGATTCAGTCTTGAAAAAACATATGCTTTTCTGGGACTGGTCTCTTTTATTCAGGTTACCCAATTTGTTGTCATTTGCTTGTTCTTGGTACGCACTTGTAATCTTCTTCTGCTTCTCTAGCATTCTTTGTAATATCCCCACTTTCATTTCTGATTTTAGTATATTCGATAGTCTCTCCACTCTCTTTCAATGCAGCTAAAAGTTTGTCAATTTTATTGATATTTGTTGATCTCTGCTCTGTCTTTTTTTTTTTTAACACAAAGGGCACATTTCTTATTTTTATTTCAACATTTAAAATATTCATGGGCATAGTATTATATTCATTGGCATCTCTATGGAAGATGTTGCCCTATCTTGATTATTTCCTTCCATCTCATAGTTTGGGGTTCAGTTTATTTTTTATTAATCTCTAGGTTTTAAAGTTTAATTGTTAATTTAATTGAGTTTTAGTGTGTTTGTAGGTGTATGTTTCCCTCTTAATACTCCTTTTATGTGTCCCATAAATTTCAACATATTGAGTTTTCTATTTCATTTGTTTTGAGATATTTTCTAAATTCTCTCTTTTTTTCTCAATATATTTGTTGTTTGAGAATATGGTGTTTAATATCTGCAAATTTATGAATTTTCCAATTTTCCTTCTATTTCTGTTTTCTGATTTGATTCCATTGTTAGAAACATATTGTAAAATGTTAGTGTATGCCCACATAAGAGAAACAAAGACACAAAACTTGCATAAAAGGGTGCAGTCACGCCATATTTGGCACTCAGCCTTTGGATGTGGATCTGCTCAGTTATTACCAGTGTGAATAAAGCTGCTTCCTGTGAAGAAGGCCTTGGTGTAGACAAAACAACCCTGAGGCACAAAAACAAAGTAGGAGGCATTGCAATCCCAAGCTTCAGGTTATACCACAAAGCTACAGTAGTAAAAATAACATGCTATTGGCACAAAAGCAGACATGTTGAGCAATGAAACAGAATACAGAATGCAGAAACAACCCAAGGCACCTTAAGCCATCTGATATCTAAAAGTGGGGCACTAACTATGCTGGAGAAAAGAGCCTGTTTATCAAATGGTTCTGGAAAAATTGGTTATCCATATCCAAAAGAATGAATCTAGACCCATATCACTCTCCCTATACTAAAATAAAATAACAATGATCAAAAACCTAGATATAAAAATAAAAACACTGAATCTACTGAAAGGAAGTACAGATTTCCTTAAAAGAATCTCAGCTGCACATGATATACTATTAAGAATCAACAAATGGCATTATATCAAATTAAAAAGCTCTGCATAGCAAAAGATATAACCAACATAGTAAAAAGATAACCTATAGAATGGGAAAAAATTGCCAGCTATCCCTCAGACAGAGGACTAATATCTAGAATATACGAATTCAAAAAAATCAGATCTCCATGTTATTGGCCTTTTCTTGACTCTTTTTACTTTTTCACCTTCTCTTAGTTTCTTGCCTTGCCTATTTGATTTGCTTTGTTGGGCCTCATGGTGTTGTTGCCTTCATTGTCTTTTTCTAGGATCTTGTTTAGAATTGCTTGTAGTGCTGGTTTGGTATTCATGTAGTTTCTCAGGTGTTCTTGGTCTTGGAAGTATCTTATTTCCCCATCCATTTTGAAAGACAGTTTTGCAGGATACATCAGTCTAGGTTGGAGGTTGCTCTCTTTTAGTACTTGAAATATCTCACTCCAGAGTCTCCTTGCCCTAAGGGTTTGTGTTGAAAAGTCTGCTGTGATTCTAATGGGCTTTCCTTTGCATGTGATTTGTTTCTTTTCTCTTACTGCTTGTAGTATTTTGTTCTTCTGTTGGGTTTCTGGGATCTTGATTATTATATGTCTAGGTGTAGATTTTTTTTTTATTCTGGCTAGTTGGGGTCCTATATGCCTCATTTATCTGAATGTCAAAT